CATTAGACCCTCAGAGACCTGACTATTTCTTCCTCTGCTCCCTCCACCTAGAACGGTCTTTGCTAGCTACTCTTCTCGTAGCCCAGTCCTTCTCTTCCTTCAGCTTGGTAAAGGCTTTTTCTGACTCAGCTACCACCACACTGTTTGCGACTTTCTATCAGAGCACTTTGTTGATTTTCTTTGAAATACTTACTAAAAGTAGTTATGACAGGTATGCGTGCAGCCTTTCTCTCCAATTAAAAAGTGAACTACCAAATCTATATTATCCTTTCTTTCCATCTGGCACTTAGCGGTTCATTGATAAATGCGCCTCGGCTGAATGGATGAACGGGGCTACTGTCAGCCCTTGGAAATGACCAGAACCTTGCTTTAGTTTTCCCAGAAAAGGTCAGAAAATGGCTTTGCTTCTCTTCCTCTTGGCGAATGAGGAGAGTAGAGAGAATAATTAGCATAGGGGGGATAGTGAAATACTTCCAGCATAAATTTCATTGTTGTCCAAGAAAAATATTAGCAGGCTAAGCGGACACCTCTGTGGTGTCCAGACATGCCTGCCCCCACCAGCCCCCTCGCCAGTGTCTGTCACTCTGCCAGGCTGAGCAGCCATGCCAGAGCCCCTCTTTCCCTGTATGGTTAACTAGTAGAGTCGACTGAAGAAATGCTGGCACATCATCTACCCCCTGGCATCCTTTCAGCAAGCATTAATCATTCCCATGAGGTTTGTTTATGTGCCTGACTGATTTTGATTACTCTCGGGGCCTTCGGCCAGAGCAGGTCCTTTGCAGGGAGCTCGTGGAGGTCCCGGATGTTTCCCTGACCAGCAACCTTAAGTTGCTTTCAGTAACATTGATCTCGCTCCTTCCAACGCAGTACGATCTTTATTAGATGGCTACCATGCAAATAAATGGTGGTTAATGAAGGTGTTCGCTAAGACATCTGAGGGATTCCTTATGTTAGGGGTTGCAAATTCAAATATCTACATGACTTAGGTAGAAAATATAAATGGAGTAAGTTGTTGGACATGGGTGTATCAGAGAGAGCATGACCAGTGGCTACTCAAAGTTGTGTCATTAGTGCTGCTCAAGAATGAGGAATTACTATTGCCAGATCTCTTGATTGTTCAAGAGAACATGGAGACCCAGATTTCTCAGGTGACATTTCCCAACATTCAAACCATGTGATTGGCCACACACACACACACACACACACGCACACACACAAAAACCTCCAGCTAGGCCTGAATATAGCTAGCTCATAATCACTGATTCATAATACTGATTTGTACCAGGAGGGCAAACTTATTTATGAACATTTTAGCTCAACTGGAAACCATGTGGGCTAATTTTGTGAGCTAATTTAATGGGCTTTTAGCCGCCATGCATCTCCTGTGGTGCTGACGGCTTTTAGTCCTCAGCTACTATGTGTAACTGTCTGTTCTCTGATGGTCCTTTATCCTCCACAAGACTCACACATGTGTTGCTGCGCATGCTGTTGTCCAAGGGGGTAGGGGCGCGCGTCTCAAGAGATACCTTCACAAATCACTGAGTCCTGCTGCTGCTCTGAACACTTCTGGGTTCTTTTTCTCTTCCTTTCTCTCTGCCTTTATGTCATTCTGGCTTCCCCAAATTCTGCTGTAGGAACTCCTTTTCTTGTTCTGATTTCATCCATTCTCCTGACCTCCTGGCAGACACTGGGTAGCTGTTTACAAAAATTGTTTATTCTTCTTCCTGGGCACATGACTAGACTGCATTTCCTAGTCTTTCCTGCAATTCATGCCTAAACTTTGGAATGTGCACGGACCCAAACTACCTTTTGTACACAGTGTCCCCTGCCACCCACTCGGCCTTACCTTTCTTCCTGCACTGGCATGATGCAAGGTGCAGATAAATGGCAACTCCAAAATCTAAGAGTTGAATATGGCAAATTACAAAATGGAAGACTCTTGCCTGCAGCTCGGAAATCTTGTCTTCTACCTTACATGAGTGAGAAATGAGCTGTTAACTGTGTCTGAGTTATTATCTGTTTTGGCATGTGTTCGTGACTATTAGATGTCTGCTAGATTATACGAGACATAAAATCAGGGAGACTGCCCTGTTTGTTTTTTCCTGGCTGTATTCCCAGAACCCTAGCATAGAGGCAGACACACCAGAGGTGCTCAATATATGTTTATGGAATGAACAAATGGATGAATGAATGAGTGAGTGAATGAAAAATGTCTCCATAGAAATTTAGAACTGGTAGGGGCGTGGATATCATGCATCCCTGTCCCCTTATTATAACAAATGAAAAAATGGAAGCTCACAGAGAGAAAGTGCCTTGCCCAAGGCCAGAAAAAAAAAGAACAAACAAACAAACTAGTTAATTCCAGGGATCCACAAACAGGGAGCCCCCGTTTCTAGTATTTTACCATCTCATGCTTCCCTCCATGGTAACCATAGTGTTTTCCATTACTTTTAGGGAGTGTAGGAGGGAGAGAGGTTTTGGAGAGGGGGAGGGGGAGGGAGAAAAGGAGGGGGAGAAGCAGATGTGAGAGATAACATCGATTGGTTGCCTTTGGTATGTGTCCTGACTGGGAACCGAGCCCATAACCTAGGCATGTGCCCCAGCTGGGAATCAAACTGGCGACCTTTCGGTTTGTGGGATGACGCCCAACCAAGTGAGCCCCACTGGTCAGGGGCATGGTAACCATATTTGTATCAGCAACTGCTAAGGAAAGAAAAAGAAAATTTCATGCCTTAATTTCTAACCTATCAATCTCAACTAGAAGGCATTGCATAATCACGCAGTTCACCTGTGGGCCGTACTGCTTTGCTGGGGCTTTATGGGAAACTCCTTTGTAAATCATATGGCAAAAAAGACAAGTAACTGTTGCTTGATTTGTAACTTATAAAGTTAGGAGAGGCATCCTGCAATGAGTGAAAGGATTGGATCTGGTGTGGGGTGAAGTCTGGCAGTGTTGTGCTGCGTAATGGAAGCTCTGAGTCTGCGAAGGGCACTGCGTGTGATTGCGGAGGGCTCAGCCAAGGTGAGGCCCAGACCTCGAGGACTGAAAGGGCTGTTGGGAGCTTGGCCAAAAAAGGGGAAGATGGATAAAAAGATTATATTTGATAATTGGTGCTGAGATCGCTTTTATTTGCATGAAAATAATGTGATACAGGTAAATATCAACTGCATTTCAACCTTTGAACTTCCATGCAGAACACCTCTCCGCACATTACATAGCCTTCCCCCAACCCAGCCTTTGACAAACTGTAAGTTCCCCACAAAGATCTTTCAAAACTCAGCTCTGTGATGGAATAAATAAAAAAATAAAGATTCTTCTGGGGGCCATTACTATATGTTTCCGGTTGTATAAATCCGTAATTCTGTAACCTAGGCCTTTTAACTGTCTTTCAAAACAGGCATATTTTGAAAAGTCGTGGTTGCTACATTAACCCTTACACTGGCGTTGACTGAATCCATCACGGAACCCGTCATGATGGGCAGGCCAAGCTGATGGAAGAGACACTCATGCTCACTCTCCAGGCACAGGGTTTGGATGATGTGGCACTCCATGCAATATGTACACTGCCAGCGTCTTCTAGAAAATGACATTGATTTAAGATAAATACCATATGATTTCACTCATATGGGGATTCTAAGGAACAAACTGAACTAACAAGCAAAATAGAGACAGACTCACAGATAGAGAGCAGGATGACAGCTGTGGGGGAGTTAAGGGGTGGAGGGATCGAGCAAAAAGGATAATGGACTATGGACATGGACAACAGTGTAGTGATTTGGGGGAGAAGAGGATATAAGGGGACTAAATGGTAATGGAAAAAATACAGTAAAAATGTTTTAAAAATAATTCAAAGGATTAGGAAATGGAGGATAAGTATTTTTTCCCCAAAGGTGCTTTGTGCTTGTAATTTATTCTTTTGAGGATATGGTGACTCTATTTTTGATCAGTTCATGGTGGAAAAGGGACAGAAGGAAAGGAACAGTGATTCTGAACCCTAAGCTATGAGGGATATATCTTCTCTAGTCCATGTTCAGAGTCTTTGGGGCCAACATCAGACTGGTTTTAATGGACTGGCATTCTAGCCCCATTGTGGTAATGCACAAGCCCTGATGAGTGGATACTTCCACTCATCACTGCTGGCCCCAAGTCAAGGACCATGCTCCCATGGGGCGCAGTGTCACCTCCAGAGAGGCCTGCCTTGGACAGTGTAGGCAGGGGCGCCTGGGACCGGTGCCGTTGAAACTCTCACACGCAGTTGCTTTACTCCTAAATCTAAATTAAGTTCAGAGCCCAGCACTGAGAGTCTGAGAGGCCAAGTTAAAGGAACCCTGTTCTGTCCTTGTCTTAGGAAGACTGCTCGCATAGGTCACCTCAAACATGATGTTTATTATATTAAGTGCATAAATAGGTAGTTTGTGAGATCCTCAGAATAGGTAAGACTTTCCTAGGAGGAACACCTGGAAAGGTGAGCATGGTCGGAACTGGGGAGAGAAGCACAAAAGAGGAAGCGGGTCTGTGAAATGCTGTGGAGATACTTCCAGCGGCTCGTCACTCTGCTCTTGGACACACGGATATTGGTCCTGACCTGTTTCACTGGGGGAATGAGGCAGGACAGGGAGGGCAGAGCAATGAGGGAGAAGGAATTAGGAATCACAATTTGGGGGGGGTTCATATTTGATTTTTAACAAATTGCATCGAAAGTTAACAAATTGCATAGAAGGCAAGGGAAAACCCCTCTCTTCCAAGTTGTGTCATTGTGGTATTGAGCAAATTGGTATTTCTGCAATCTTAAGGGGGTATAAACAAACTCTTTTCTCTAAGTATGGGACAAAAACTGCTTCTCCCCACACCTTTCGGAGTTGCCTCATGGTTTTACACACACTCCCTGCCCTTCCCCGTCCAACACACGCTGCAGCACTACAGGATTGGGCAATGGCCCTTCCCACTCTCCAGTGCTGCGGTCACTTTGCAGTTATGAAATGTCATAGAGAGCCTCTGCGTGGAGGTCTGCGTCGAGCCTTCCTGTTCTGCTGAGCTTTCAACAGCTCTTTCCCCGTTCTTTTGAACTGGCAATATTCAAAGTGGGGAAGTAAGCATCTGAAATTATTTTCACCTTACTTTTAAAGATTGATTTTTCTTTAAAAGAATCAAGTGGAAAGGGGGAAAAAAGGTATTTCCCCACCCACACTGCGTGCCAGAACGCTACAGACTTTCCAGGGTAATCTACATTTGGGCACAGACCAAGCTTGACACGGTTGAGCTCAAAGGGCGAGAAACGGTTTGTGAGAGTTATGAGCATTTGGGGGGAGGGTTTTATTTTTAATTAGGGGCTTATTTAGAATGGAAATCTGTGTGTAATCTGAACTGCTGCGTGCATTCTGGTGGACATGAAATGGGGGAACAATGGGAACTTGTGTTGGAAGTTTATCGGAACTGCAGCCCTGTTCTCCATACCTCAGTTGTCTGGGTAACTGTACTGTGGACTGCAGTGACTTCACTGAACGGGCGCTCTCAGATGGAGGGCAGGGAAACTGTAGACAGCCTTCCCGATGGGAGGCGGGGAGAGTGAAAGAGAGGGATTCACTGTTGCAAACTTAAATGCCTTTTGTCTCCCCGTATTAAATGCTTGTTTCTAAACCCTGAGCTAGTCCCTAGGAGTCTCCTTTCTCTTCCTTCTCCTGCACAGGAAGTCTTTTCCCTGGGCACTCGCCTAGCTCCTGGTCCCCTTCCCCTGGGAAGACCCACTCAGTATTTGGACTTGGAAATGCTCCTGTGGCCCCTCCATAGCACCAGCCGCGCTGGGTAGCCATGTCATACACCCGGGTAAACATATTTTCCTTTCTGTCTTGAAAGTTCACGTAACTTTCTTGACCTACTTTGTATACACTAAGACTAGAGCCAAAAATGTACTTTGCCTCATCAGATAGAGGTTTTTTTGCCTGCCTGATCCCGACTTTTTTTGTGTATCAATATTTCTTGGCAGAGATTTCTTCCATTAAAACTGCTGTCTTGGGATTGGAGATGAAAGGACCCGACACTTAGCAGCAGATGAGCTAAGCCTAACGGAGAGAATGACTTATGGATTCAGGAGCTTGGGTGAGGATGATACACATATAGTTACATTCTGCTCAAATCCCATACTCTGGCCTACCCTTCTCTCCGTTTGAAAACAGATGAGTTCTGTCTAAGTGATACGGGATGTGAAAAGAGAGCACGATAAGAAGACATCATGTGAGAGAAATCCATTAGTGTGCAGACAAACCATGAGAAGGAGTCAAAGCATATTTTTGGGGTTGTTGTAAGTTTATTAAACAATTCTCTTTAAAGGAACATTGGGAAACATTTGTAACTGAATTTGATGAAATCCTTTCTTGAAGATCTAAGTGGGAATTCAGAAGGAGGTCTGGGAAGGAGGGGCTGCCGCTTTCCTGGGGGAGGAGGTGAGTGAGAAAGCAGCTTCTGATGCAGCGATGCAGCCCAGGAATGGGGTCAGGGGGATGCGGAGAGCAGGAGAGGGGCTTTCAGAGAGAAAACCAAGACTCGACATGCTTTTAAAATTATAACTTTTTAAATTGTTATTTTATAACTTATTTTCAGTGTATTGGGACCAATGAACTTATGACAGGTAGAATTAAGTGTAATTAAAAACAAAACAAAAGAAAAAACACCAGCACATAGGAAGAAGGGGAAGATTGTGAACACATTCACCTATTAACACATTTTTCTGCTTTTGAAATTTAAAAAGTTTCTCACGTTATCATTCTTTGCACAACTCAAAAACAAGTATTGTTCTTTGCTGTATGTAAGAAAGGTAGGTCTGAAAAAGGTATTCCAGATATGAAATTCAGATTGTCTTGACAGGTAATTCAACTAAAGGCATGTGTTCGCTACAGTTTTCCAAGTCACTCTCCAGCTGAGGGGCGGCAGGTACAAAGCAGGAGGTGAGAGAAATAAACCTCCCAGGCCGGCTTTTTGAGAGAGAGAGAGCAGCTCTTCAGGGTCCTGTTGGGACATTCATAAGGGCAGCCAAACCCACCAAAGAGGGCATTTCAAAGGATTGAGGCAAGAAGTACATACTAGGTATTTTTGTGTGGGAATATACTCTAAAGAGCAAAGCAGATATATCTTGTTTGATTTGGGGCAACAGTATTGAATATACTCAAATAGAATTTCAAGGATCAAGGCCCCATTCTGATGCACTACCAGACTTATTAAACATTTTAAATAGTGAAAGCAGAGGCTAATGCTTTTACATACTAATCAGTCCACAATGGGTTAGAGAAATTTAGATTTCAGTCTGGAATACCATGTTTCGCTTTACTATGATCTAATTAAGTCTTTCAAGTGTTTCCGTTATAATCTGGACACTTACGCACACTGCTCTTTGCATTTCTTATGATTACTAAGAGCTGTTGGCTTTAGTGAGGACTTGTTTTAACCCTCTGAGAGAGAGAAAAAGAATGAGACCAGCAAAGAGATCCTTCTTGCAGGTTGGACCCAGGTGAGCACCTGGGAGTCTTGTACCCAACAAACTGAAGTAAGTTTGGAACTGAAGGCTAAAGATGGCTCTAAGAATAATTATGGTAGTCCATGTTAATTGACTATTGATTAAGTGATTGGTGCTAAGTAGATCATTTATTGTCAGGGTTAATTATTGGTGCCAGCTTGACTGAACAAGGGAATATCCAGATATCTGGTAAAATGTTTTTTCTGGGTATCTATGAGGGTGTTTCTGGAAGAGGTGATTTCTGGAGAAGATCCACCCCCACCAGCGTGTTGAGGAGGCATCATCCAATCTTTCTCTCTTTGTGAGCTGAGACATTCATCTTCTCCTGTCCTTGGACATGGGAGCTCCTGATTCTTGAGCCTATGGCATTGGACTGGGAGTTACACCACCTAGTGCCCTAGTTCTCGGCCCTTAGACTGGGATTGAACTATACTACTGGCTCGTCCTGCTTCATCTGCTTGCTTTCAACATGTTGTGGCATATCTTGGCCTCCATGGTCACATTAGCCAATTCCTACAGTAAATCTCCTCTTGTACATCTATTTATATAGCCTATTGGTTCTGTTTCTCTGGGGGGACCCTGACTAGTACATACACACTACCTCTTTTAATGCCCCACGCAGCTCCATTGAAAGAACCATTATCCTTTCTATTTTACATATGAGAAGAGTGAGCCCTAAACTTGCATTTAGATATACTGCTGGCCATTAGCAAGGCTGGCATTAGAATCCTGCTCAGTCTGACTTTGGAGCTTGAACTGGATCCCAACGTGTGAAATTACTTCTGATTTTATGGAGATTGATGTGGAAGACACCATTTGCACCTAAACATCTTCAGATAAATCCTCTTGAGTTCTGTGCTGAAGTTCACTTACTCAGGTTACAAAGTGTTGAATTAGCTTGACTCTTTCCCACTCTTCTTGAAGAAAGTATTAAGGCAAGTGAGAACCAAATAAAATGATGGGACTAGAATGAGACCCAGCTGGCTGTTTCACTTTTCTTTCTCTTGAGAATGTGCCTCAGTTTAATTTACTTCTACAAATATTAATTTAGAAAATAAGTAGCCCTGGCTGGCATAGCTCAGTGGATTGAGCGTGGGTCTGCAAATCAGAGGGTTGCTGGTTCGATTCTCAGTCAGGGCACATGCCTGGGCTGCAGGCCAGGTCCCCAGTGGGGGGGCAAGTGAGAAGCAACCACCCATTGATGTTTCTATCCCTTTCTTTCTCCTTCCCTTCCCTTCTCTCTAAAAACAAATAAAAATCTTAAAAAAAGAAAAAAGTATACAGTCTAGTACTATGATAAGTACTATGGTAATGTACTTATGCTGTGTAAGTACTGTTAATTACCTGTTAAGTAATAAAAACACAATATACTTGCAACAATTAGATAAATATAGGAGAACATACTTGTGCCTACCTAAGTAATATAATTCACTTTGCTTCCCCAAACAATTCTGTGTTAAAATAGTCTCACAAAAGGAGTATCTTTGATTTTGATTTCTAGGTGATCTAATAAAAGGACACTTTTCAAAGTATCTGGCTTGAATATCTGCTTTTGCCACCACTGGACCCATACCAGAGGGGACTCACTGAACCAGTCTTGGAGCCTCATACTTGGTGCTCAGCGAATACGAGCCCAACAAAGCAGTGGTCCCCAACCTTTTGGCACCAGGGACCAGTTTCTTGGAAGAGAATTTTTCCACAGACCAGGGTTGGGGCGATAGTTTCCAGACGATTCAAGTGTGTTACATTCAAGCTTACAGGCTGTGTGGCCTGGTTCCTAACAAGCCAGACCGGTTTTGGTCTGCAGCCCAGAGGTCTGGGACCCCTGCAATAAAGAACATCTCACAGGCCAATTTAAGGACATCACTGAATGACTCCATTGAGCCAGACAAATCAGGAAGGAACAGCTGAGGGATTTAGAACCCTCCAGGAAAGAAACACAAGTAAACAGTGGGAATTCACAGGACGTATTATTAAAATATTAAAATAACATCTCATTGTTAAGATTTTAAAACTTAAACTCTTATCCTTGCTCTTAAGAATATCACATTAATAAACTACACTTTGATCTATGAAGTGATTCTTGAAATGTTTCCACATTTATCCTTTAGGTTATTATCCACCCAATCAAATATGCAACTCCTGGAAATCTTCAACTGAGTTTTTCAGAAATGGAACCTGCACTTGGCTTTCGGATCAGTGTCAGACTTTGTTGAAGTCTCTGTCACTTGTGATAAGGCAGCATTTATAGATGGTCAGGCCTGTGTGCCAAAGAAAATGGAATCTGAATTCAGGCTGTTGGCAAGCAGACACATAAGGGTACAGCTATGATAAATTCAAGAGGAATGTAGTGACAATTATGAGAACAGACAAGGTTTGAAATTATAATAAAAATAAACTTAATTATAATAAAAATAAAATTGACCTAATTTGTTGAACTTCTCCTAAGTTTTCTATATTCTATATACTTCATCTCTTAATTTTACACAATTCCTGTAAGGTGGTTGGTGTTTTTGCCAACCTATGAAATGCATACAGAAGCAAAAACTTGTAAAAGTTAGCTAACTTGCCCAAGACCTCTCTGCTAATCTGCCACCAAAAACGTCTCCTAGTCTAAGGACAGTAATTGCAACAGCAACAGAAAAGCTTGTTGCTTGTTGAAAATGGTCACACACATGGTCTCTGAGGTTTAGCAGTCATGTTCACTTGGGCAGTAACCATGGACACGGGTCTGATGCTGTGTGCTGGATGGCACCACCAGAATTTGAGCTGAGAGATACTGCTGGTATGTCGTGGCAGTGGAGTGCAGAAAATCCCTTGTTCAGAGCAAAGAGGGGGAACCCCCAGAAGTGGAACAGCAAACTGCTCAATATCTTGTCTCCCTGTAACTATAAAACAGCTGATAAAACTCATTCATAAAAAGCAGGGCACATCATCAGAGACATCAAAAGCATTTTTCTGTTCTCTCTGGCACAATTTCTAAGTGTACTCAGATTGCACACACACCACTGTGATCAAAATTAGCCTCCTCTAAGTAGCAAAGATTCATTCTTGTTTTGTGTATTCGTAACAGTTAAGTTATATAGTGGGTTAGCCAAAATGTCTGTTTAGTTTTTTTCCATAAAATGCACATTTTTCATGTTCACCGATAACTTTATTGATTTGGATATTTTGGGTATGTCAGCTATCTCCTGCTATTGACTTCTAGTGGGTAGAGGCCACGGGTGCTGCTAAACATCTTCCAATGCATAAGACAGCCCCACAGCAAAGAACTATTTGGCCAAAGTGTCAGTAACAAGAAACTTAACAAGTCACTTTTGTTACATTCAATCAGTCACAGCACCTTTTCTATACACTGAACAAATCATTTTGGGGTTTGCTTTTTTTTTTCTGCATTTCAGTTGTGTTTTTACCTTCCTTGAATTATAAAGCATACTATGCTGAAAATGTTGGCATATTTTCTTTCATTTTCAATATTAAAATGGCTGCATAAAAATTTACCAATTTTGATAAGTTTTTTAAAATGCAGGCTGATATGGCAAGTGTCACAATACAATCTAACAAAAAAAATCGTTTCTAATTAAGTGAAAGACAACTAAGCACTACTAGAGCCATCATACGGAAAAAAGTAAATGAAATTTTTGGGCCAAATCCAATAAGATACGAATAAGCTAAAGGTTTGTGGATAGGAAAAGGGGTTAGTGGGCATTTCTTTATCTGTTCTCCATTGTAGGCAGCAGTATGTCCCTCTCCTCAGACCATATCAGACTGCAATAACTTTTTTGTAATTTAAGTAGTTCATTTCTCCAAATTTCTTAGATGACTGCATCGTTCACTTGTAGTTGCCTTTTTGCGCATAGCTCAAGATTCCTTAAATCTACTCATCCATCAATGTTCTATTCACATTTACACAAGTGTTTTTCCTCCTGGGGCAAAGGCAGTTGCCCTCCTGATGTTTTCTAGACAAGAGAACAGAAGGGAATAGACCCCAGTGAGAGAGAAACAGCAAGCAGCTGGGCTAGTGCTTTCCCGTGGAAGGGTTTGAGGTCGGAGCCGTGTAACCGTCAGGGCATGTCCTCAGCCCTGCAGTGCGGGGGCTCTGTGATCTGTGGGAAATCCCAAGAGCTCCACTGGAGACGAATGAGTCACCGGGAGCTCTGTTTCCGGTGCTGGGGATCCCGACTTGGCAGGAAATTTGTCATCGTTCAGGCATGCTCTTAAGTGTCCGTCTATGAGCCCCCAGTAGGCCCTTCCCCAGTTCCTGTCAAACCAGCCAAAAATATGTGGAGGAACTACATCAGAAAGTATGTGAAAATTGCTCCAAAGAAAGCATTTGCATTTTTGGTTCAAACTGAGCCAAATCCCCAGCATAATTTTTGACCACAGCTGAATTCCTTGCTTCAAGGTTTAGGTATGGCTGACATGATCTTAGAGACAGATCACTGAAGGATGTCCCTGCAGGGAGGGGTTCTGTGGCTAGAAGAGCTTCTTTTTCCCCCCTACTATGATTTAGTGGACAATGTTCACTGGTACATGGCTCTGAGAAATGATATCCTATGGGGCATGAGTTGGAGGCACTCAGAGTGATTTTGGTTTTCTGTTGTTTCAATTTATTGGCCTACATTTAGTGAATGATTTTTGTTGAATCAACACATAAAGGTCTACGATTGTGGATTTCATTGGTATTCCCTTCCAAAACAATTATGGAAGCAAATCAAAAGGGACAGTAGATCATTGCATTTAGGAGAAAAAGTAGCATAGGCTTTGGGGTTAAGGATACAAAATAACTAAGCTGTGTCTCCACTTTCACAAAGACCAGAGTCCACATGAGGTAGTGTCTCGGATTGAGACATATAAATAAATCATTAACCCTAAGACAAAGGAATAAGCCACAAAATAGAAGTATAGTTAACCAAGATGGGGGTTGATTATGCTGGTTGGAGGAAAATTTGGGGAAGACCAAGAGGTGGCCAAGAGGTTAGATCTTAAAAAGTAAATAGATGTAAGTATGACACATGGACATGAACTAAAGGGGGGCAATGTGGGTGGGAGGGGGTGGGCAGGGTGGAGGGGAGTGAAGGGGGAAAATGGGACAACTGTAATAGCATAATCAATAAAATATATATTAAAAAAAAGTAAATCGGGCCCTGCAGACATAATGTGGGGAAGGAACATTTTTGGCAGAAGGAAGAACATGAGTAAAGGCACATATGACATGCGTGGAAACATCAGGGAAATGTGAGTGTTTGGACATCACTGTGAACATGAAGTGAATGAAAACTAGATGGGGTTGGGACTGAAAAAGTCAGTGAGGTCTACACTGTGGCAGGCTTTCCAGGCCAGTGCGCGGAATTCTGAATTTCATTTTCTAGGCTCTGGGTGGTCATTGTGGGCTTTTATATAGGAAAACTGTGTGGCTACAATTGTAATTTCTTTTTTATTTTAAGATTTTATTTATTTATTTTTAGAGAGGGCAATGTGTGGTTGCCTGTTGTGCACCCCTACCTGGGGACCTGGCCCACAACCCAGGCATGTGCCCTGACTGGGAATCCAACCAGCGGCCCTTTGGTTCACAGGCTGGCACTCACTCCACTGAGCCACACCAGCCAGGGCTACAATTGCAGTATCTATCACTGACTTGCCATCATTGATTTGCAAAGGCTAGAGAGTGCCCCACCTTTCATGCCATCCCTAATCTGAAGGGGATATAAAAACTGTGAGACTCAGCACAATAAAGTTTAAAAATAGCCTTTCTAATCTGTAGATTTAGTTTACTTTTCTTAAAAAATATAAGCACATTTTTTCCTTGATAAAATCATGGCATTAATGAAAATTAATATTGACCACACTCAAGTGCTATAAGCAACAGCGAACAATTTATCCCCTTGTTTTCTTGTTCCTTTCAACTTTCACCTCTGAGTCACACGGGGCACGGAGAGGCCACCTGAGGCCAGGAGTAAACCTGCCCTAGGCGGGGACAGAACTGATATGTTATCACATACAATGTTATATATGTGATATATATATTATCACATATAATGATATATATGATGTGTATATATCACAATATGTCTCACCATTTCCCCACCTTGGAAAACAAAAGCAGAACCCGCTCCTCGAGTCCTGTTATTTATAAAGCTGCCACGAAGCAAACTGGTCTCGGTACAGGTGAAAGAGCACAAGGCTCAGAGTTAAGGCTGGTGTCCTAATCCAGTTTTTCACACTCAAATGTGGTAGAAACTTGGATAAGCCCTTGAACTTTTCTGCACCTGTAGTGCTTTTATATTTGAGGTAGATGAAGTTCTCACTGCCCTACTGTATTGGTTTGCCAGGGCTGCCATAACAAAACACCACAGACGGGGTATGTCAAGTAATAGAAATACCGTTTCTCACTGTTCTGGAGGAGGGAAGGCCAAGACTGACGTGTTGATGGTTTAGTCTTTTTGGAGGCTTTTCCCCTGAGCTTGCGATGGTCACCTATTGCCATTTCCTCACATGGTCTCATCCCTCTGCCTGTGTCTCCATCCTAATGCCCTTATAAGTCCTTTTCAGTCCTGGATTATGCTGTGTCATCCCAATGACCCCGTTTAACTTGAATTACCTCTTTAAAGGCCCTGTGTCCAGATACAGTCACTTTCCAAGAATTTGGGACTAGGACTTCAACATATGAATTTTGGCAGGGGACACAATTCAGCCCACAACTCCTATGTACATTAGTGTGTGTTTTTTAAGGGACCCAGTAAGATAATGCCATTTAGGGAAGCATAGATCTTACCGTGAATACAAAGTATTTATAGCCCTGGTTTCTGGTCAGATAGAGTCGACAGAGCCCTCCCTCCGGGCCTACGGCCTGTTCCCTTCAGTAGGCGGGAAAGCACATGGAGGGCTCTGTGCTAATCTTTTCTTCCAGTGTGTGGAGCCACCTACTTGTGATTGTCCACACCTATGCATGTCATTCACGATCCTATTTCATTTTAACCTTTACTGATAGCTGTCCCAATAGTCATTTCTTCTCTGCCCTGCGCACTTGCAGTGCTCCACTACTGAGCCCCCTTTTTTGTTCCCCGCTTTACACATAAAATGCCCGTCTAAGGAGATGGTCAAACCTTTGAGGAAAGTAGTGACCTCAAGAGGCTTAGAGAAGACTCACCTAAGGCATTCGTAAGAGCTAAAACAGATCATTGCAAAACTGGATCTAAAGCTTCAGAAAGTGGATCACGGCCCCCACTCCTGGAGTCTCAAGGGCCAGGAAAAGAAGGCTGATCCCCCAGTAACCTGCTTTTGGGAGTGGCTGCACCTCAAGCTCTCACTGTTTGCCTCTTTTACCAACTCATTCTTCTCACCCTCACCTACCTCCAGGCAGCTTCCTCCTCCCACAGTCTTCACGCAGGCAACTCTCCAGTGAGGAAGCAACTAGTTTTGAAACTGCCTTGCTTTT